TAGTTCCTTTAGGTGTAACATTATTGTTTATTTGAGATGTTTCTTGTTTCTTGAGGTAGGCTTGTATAGCTATAAAATTCCCTCTTAGAACTGCTTTTGCTGCATCCCACAGGTTTTGGATCCTTGTGTTTTCATTGTCATTTGTCTCTAGGTATTTTTTGATTTCCTGTTTGATTTCTTTAGTGATCTCTTGGTTATTTAGTAACATATTGTTTAGCCTCCATGTGATTGTGTTTTTTACATTTTTTTCCCTGTAATTGATTTCTAATTTCATAGTATTGTGGTCAGAAAAGATGCTTGGTATGATTTTAGTTTTCTTAAATTTACTGAGGCTTGATTTATGACCCAAGATGTGATGTATCCTAGAGAATGTTCCATACGCACTGGAAAAGAAAGTGTAATCTGCTGTTTTTGGGTGGAATGTCCTATAAATATCAATTAAATCTATGTGGTCTATTGTGTCATTTAAAGCTTGTGTTTCCTTATTAATTTTCTGTTTGGATGATCTGTCCATTGGTGTAAGTGAGGTGTTAAAGTCCCCCAGTATTACTGTGTTACTGTCGATTTCCTCTTTTAGAACTGTTATCAGTTGCCTTATGTATTGAGGTGCTCCTATGTTGGGTGCATATATATTTATAATTGTTATATCTTCTTCTTGGATTGATCCCTTGATCATTATGTAGTGTCCTTCCTTGTCTTTTGCAACATTCTTTATTTTAAAGTCTATTTCATCTGATATGAATATTGCTACTCCAGCTTTCTTTTGATTTCTGTTTGCATGGAATATCTTTTCCACTTTCAGCCAGTATGTGACCCTAGGTCTGAAGTGGGTCTCTTGTAGACAGCATATATATGGGTCTTGTTTTTGTATCCATTCAGCCAGCCTGTGTCTTTTGGTTGGAGCATTTAATCCTTTCACATTTAAGGTAATTATCAATATGTATGTTCCTATTACCGTTTTCTTAATTGTTTTGGGTTTGCTTTTGTAGCTTCTTTTCTTCTCTTGTGTTTCCCACTTAGAGAATTTCCTTTAGCATTTGTTGTAGAGCTGGTTTGGTGGTGCTGAATTCTCTTAGGTTTTGCTTGTCTGTAAAGCTTTTGATTTCTCCATCAAACCTGAATGAGATCCTTGCTGGGTAATCTTGGTTGTAGGTTCTTCCCTTTCATCACTTTAAGTATATCATACCACTCCCTTCTGGCTTGTAGAGTTTTTGCTGAGAAATCAGCTGTTAACCTTATGGGAGTTCCCTTGTATGTTTTTTGTCATTTTTCCCTTGCTGCTTTCAATAATTTTTCTTTGTCATTAATTTTTGCCATTTGATTACTATGTGTCTCGGCATGTTTCTCCTTGGGTTTGTCCTGTATGGGACTCTCTGCATTTACTGGACTTGGGTGGCTATTTCCTTTCCCATGTTAGGGAATTTTTTGACTATAATCTCTTTAAATATTTTCTTGGGTCCTTTCCCTCTCTCCTCCTTCTGGTACCCCTATAATGCGAATGTTTTTGGATTTAATGTTGTCCCAGAGGTCTCTTAGGCTGTCTTCATTTCTTTTCATTCTTTTTTCGTTATTCTGTTCCACAGCAGTGAATTCCACCATTCTGTCTTCCAGGTCACTTATCCATTTTTCTGCCTCAGTTATTCTGCTATTGATTCCTTCTAGTGTAGTTTTCATTTCAGTTATTGTATTGTTCATCTCTGTTTGTTTGTTCTTTAATTCTTCTAGATCTTTGTTAAACATTTCTTGCACCTTCTCAATCTTTGCCTCCATTCTTTTTCTGAGATCCTGGATTATCTTCACTATCATTATTCTGAATTCTTTTTCTGGAAGGTTGCCTATCTCCACTTCATTTAGTTGTTTTTCTGGGGTTTTATCTTGTTCCTTCATCTGATACATAGCCTTCTGCCTTTTCATCTTGTCTATCTTTCTGTGAATGTAGTTTTTGTTCCACAGGCTGCAGGATTGTAGTTCTTCTTGCTTCTCCTCTCTGCCCTCACTCTGGGTCTTTAACTATTTGCTGGGCTTTTTTCAGAGGCAGCAGGGTAGAAAGACATCACAAGGTCTGCTTCTAGGCCTTCTGCTTCTGCTCCAAGTCCTCTTCAGTGGTGCCTATCTTTGTGATTTTCTTCCATTGCAGTTGATAGTTGAATCAATTTTAAAACTTTGTTTATGTGCCTACAGTTGCTTTCATTGTGACCCTTCTTCATAATGTTTGTATCTTCTATCAATACATTTTTATACAGTGCAATGTTTCTACCTGTTAGTTCTTTTCTAAAACAACTAGAATGAATACACACACACACACACACACACACACTCTTAGAATTTTCAAAAATTTAATATATTTCTTATATTTAAGCTTTTGATTTATAAGGACTTGAATTTTGTATGTGTTTGGAAATCCAGCTTTTATTTTTTTTGTAATTGTTCCAGATCAAAATGTATTATTTTATTCTATTCAATTTCTGGCTCAAACATTCTGATACTTAAATTATAACCTGAGCTATTTTTATAATTTAACATTTAAAATTTTTCAGTTTTAAGGCTTTCAAAAATTTCATTTTAGTATTGCTTTAGGGTTTCTCTAATCTTTCACTCCCTGCTCCTAGCACCCCACATATAGACTCTTTCCAATGTCCTGCTGCTAAACTTTTACCTCCACCACAATGTTCCGCACATTTTTCTCTACTGAGGAGGAGAGAACACTCCCACAATGTGTCAGACACTGTGCTAAGAAAGATGAGGAAGAAATGATATGTAATGATGACTCTAGTAAGAGCTAGAATGATAAGAGAAAGTGAAAAAGAAAGAAGTACAGAGGTCAACTTAAATGCCTAACAATTCCTGGGAACCTTCCACCTATTCTCCAGTGCTCTTTGATTACCATTCAGATAATTTAATGACTGACCAACAAGCAAAGTCTTTGTATTATAAACTCTTCTAGGATACCTTATTCTTAGGGTGTCTTCCTTGGAAATTGTGAAATACGAATAATGTAAAACACTCCCTGCCTCTTCCCTCCTTCCTGTTCTTCCACAGAAGGAGGTAAACTGCTTTTCTGCCTTTCTTATGGGCAGAAAACGATAACACACTGGAGTCATGTTAGAACAACCACCAAGCTTTCTTACCTCCTGTTGCAAAAATAATGTAAAGTGCAAAATCCTGGGCACTATTTTCAATCTGTCAATGGAAAAGAAAGAACAGACATGAATTCTTTGTTGTCAATGTTTTCTAAGCCAACCAGACCCAAATTATATATGTTTCTTCACTTTCATTTTTCACTTTCAGATATAAAACATTTTCTGCTCCCTGGGGATAATGTAATTTCTCAGGCACAGTCCATTTATATTATAAATGGACCCATGCAGTTCAAACCTGTTTTGTTCAAGGGTCAACCATACATAGGAAAGAATTCTTTGGAACTGAACATTTAATTTCAGAAAAATCCATTTATGTGCCTACAGTTAAATTATATACAAGATATTTATAGCTCAGTTCACTGATAAAGATTACCTTAAATTTTTGGAGAATTTGCTTAATTACTTCTTCAGTTCTCATATTACTGTTTATTCTGACCTTCGTTTCTGATCCAAAGGCTGGAGTGAAAATTGATGTCTAGAAGAGAAAAGAAAAAGATTGATATAATTTTAAGGACTTAACATGACAAACTAACGAGAGTCAACATTTTGAACCTGGCCTTCCTTTGGACAAAAAAATCCAAGATCATCAGTTTAAAAATTTGCTTTCTTATTTTTACTTTCTTTGTTGTTGTTGAATACTGTACTATGTATGCCTTTAAGCAGCTTTATATTTCTTCTAGAGTAAGTTAGGTAAAACATTATTTGAGAATGTTCAAAACAGTTTCACTAGATGGTCACACCATTCTTCAGTGTAGTTTAAGATTTCAAAATTCCCTCCTGGTTGGGAATAATTGTTCTAAATTGTTTTAATTTGAACTGTATAAAATCACTCCTTTTCGGTTGGTCAGAAATGGTCCAGTGTTGGCAATTTCATATGATTCAGCCTATATCTCAACTGAGGATTGAGGTAAAAGTGCTGCTAATTGAATATCTAGAACAATATTTCCTGCAAGTTGCTCTAATCAAGAGTCTGCCTTTTAGATAATACTTGGTAAAAGATTTCTATGGTCAGATAAGTCTGACACATCTCTCTTGGGGATTAGTAATGCACCATAAAAAATCATAAGAAACATATAACCATAAAATTTTTTCTCATTATTTGATCATTATTCCTATTTTAAAATAAATAGAATCCTGAGAGAGATGAAAAAAATTAAATGGAAAATTCCAGAAATAAACAATTCATACGTTTTAAATTGTGTGCCATTCTGAGTAGCATGATAAAATCTTGCACCATCCTACTCCATCTGGCCCAAAATCCCCAACCATTGACAATGTCTGCTCCTGACAGCCAACTATCGACGTCATCATGGCTTGATGGTCCAGGATCATCTGAAGCAGATGATCCCCCTTATGACATACTGTCAGAAGGTCAAGAGTAGCTTAATGCTGCATCACCATGCCTCCATTATTCACCTCACTTCGTCTCATCACACCACAGGTATTTTATCATCTCACACCCTTACAAAGGTGAATACAGTGCAATAAGATATTTTGAGAGAGATGGAGGGAGAGAGAGACCACATTCACATAACATTTTTTACAGTGTATTTTTATAAATATTCTACCTTATTATTAGATATTGTTGTTAACATCTTATTTTGCCTAATTTGTACATTAAACTTTATCATAGGTATGTATGTATAGGAAAAAACATAGTATATATAGAATTCAGTACTATCCTTAGTTTCAGGTATCCACTGGGAGTCTTGGAATGTATTCCCTTGGGACTACTGCATCACAATCTAAGCCTCTAATACTGGAGGCATTATCAAGAGGTTTCATGATATAAAAACATATCTTATGACTATATCAACTTAAATTCCTAGATGCCCATCATTGCATACACATTGATAGAGTGCTTTGGGTTTTGGGGTTTTGTTTTCTGCTAGTTATTATACTGCAGTGAATGATATTTGTGTGAAATATCTTTAGTTCCACTTGATCTCTTTCAATCAATATCAATAAAGCTAACTGTAAACGGAGTTCTTCCTTCGTGCAGATACTTTTGCTAAGTACTGAACTCACCTCATTCCACTTAATCCCATCAACAGCCTTGTAAAGAAGGAAGGATGAAGGAATGAAGGCTAAGAGGTTGAGTAATTTTTTATTTGCTCAGCAAGAATTTGCAATCAGGTCATCAGGCTGCAATGCCCAAGCATTCAGCTATGATGCTGTGCTGCCAACTTTAGTGCCCATTTCATTCTTAGCTCCGCATATCCCATCTGGAAGCTGCTCATTTGGAATAATGTGGCTTTCACAGCCTACTTTAACACAAATCACCTCACAAGTGCTGATGACATACAGCATAATTCTGAGGAGAAGAAGAAACCAGGACAATTGGTAGTTGTATATCTGTGGGGGACTGTCAATGTTACTTTTTGGCCAGGAGGAAGTTCTTGAGCCAGAAAAATGTCTAATTTGAACAGAGAATTCACAAGGGAGATTTCTCCATACCAGTCTCCAAAGGAACATATGGATACTCTCCCAAGGGATGAAAAGGAAGGAAAAAAGGTAGAAAGCCCTAAAGAAAAAAAGCTTATGATGAATGAGTCAATATTTTGTATGAAAGGGCTTAGAGTGGTGCCTTGCACAGAGTGAGTGCTTTTTAAGTATTTATTAAATGAATGGATGAATGATTGCTAAAGTATATGACATGAAAATTTTGAGCTCTACAAAAACATGATGTATTTCCTACCTTCGGCCAAGTTAAATGTCTTATAAATACTATAGAAAGGCACATATATATTTAATACATATTAAGTGAAAAAAATCAAAATGCAAATAGTATAAACTACAATTGCACTTGTGTAAAAACTGATATGGGTTTATGTATAAGACTTGGAAAATTTAATTGATCAGAATAAACAAGCCTAAAGCTGATTTTTTCCTATTTAAATATTAATGTTTGAATGTACTTTGATCCAATCTCTTTTGTAGCACTTACATATTTTAATACCATTTGTGGATGTATTGGTTTCTTTGCCCAAGCCCTGAGCTCCATGCTGGCAAAGGCATCGAGTCATCTTTATATTTCCAGTGTGTATCACAGGGCCTGCAACTTAGGGTTCACTGATCATGTTGGTTAAGAACTTGGGTTCTGGCATCAGACAGAAGCTGGGTTCAGGTTCAGAGTTGCTACTTAAAAGCAGTGGACCGGTGATGGATTGTGTAACCTCTGTGAACCTCAGTTAACTCATAAGTAAAGTAGGGAACATAATGGTATCTGCTTCATAGGATTGTTTTAGTGATTAATGAGATAATCCATCAAAACAGTTTAATGCTTAACACGTAGAGAGTACCCAATAATCATAGTAGTAGTATATCTAAAGGCATTATTATTTTTTTAAATTATAAATTGAATTGAGGGCTTCCCTGGTGGTGCAGTGGTTGAGGTCCACCTGCCGATGCAGGGGACACGGGTTCGTGCCCCGGTCTGGGAAGATCCCACATGCCGCGGAGCGGCTGGGCCCGTGAGCCATGGCCACTGGGCTGGCGCGTCTGGAGCCTGTGCTCCGCAATGGGAGAGGCCACAACAGTGAGAGGCCCACGTACCGCAAAAAAAAAAAAAAATTGAATTGAGTGATATTCTTTGCACAATAGACAACATTCTTTTAAATGACATTAGTGAAACTGTAACTCACTTCATGGTTATAAAAGTGTCCGTTAATAGAGGCCCTATGCTTCTGTTTGTCCTTTCTGTCCATCATCAGAGGCTTCATCCTTTTTCTCACCAGGGTTGCTTCACTCATTGTTCTATAGAGCAATGGGGATTCAGGTTCTTCATCTGCATGAAGCTTCAGAGTGCTACTGTGATAAGATAAATAATCTGGGGAGAATAAAGGTTATAAGCCCATATAATTTAGCTGCTCACCTCTTTGCATCGTGGGTGGATTTGATTACATACTTAGTAATTATATAGCTAAGCAATGGACTATAATGCTTTTAAATAGAAAATAGCAATGATCTTCTTTAAGAATAGGGCCATCTGGTGACACTTGTTTTCCATTTTACCTTGGTTATATTGTAATTAGAGTATAAGCAAGTGATACTTCATCTTTCTCTAGTACTAGTGCTTAAATAAAAATAGATTTTTATTGTATCTTTGGTGCCAAGAGATTGGGATTCCCTTGTGTTTAGATGAGTGTTGTCAAAGGGCTAATTATAAGGACCCTTATATAAAAGATGCCAAAAGGCCATAAGACAAAAATAAGGGAATCTGGGGAAGGAGCATCATGTTTGTTACAGAATCTGAGTTGTTATAGAGACAGCAGAGAGGACTGAACTGAGAACACTTTGAAAAAAATTAAGCTAAACATTGGAAGTTGTTGGTAGATTCATGAAGATAATGCCAGCACCATACCCTTGTTCAGTCTGAAGTCAGTTTGGTAATATCACCATCCCGGGAATGTGAACCCCACCCCAGCCTCAGTCATCATCTTCTCCTTGGATCTCTACATATTACATGAAAATGAAAATCCATGTAAAATATAAGATATCATGCCAGAGTCTCAGTAAATGACAGATACTAGTATTATTACTAACACATCATCATTATTATGATTACTGTTGTCACATGTCATAGGGGCTGGTATTTTCCATTTGTTTGTCAAATTTGATATGAACTTACTTGATGTTCAAGTAGATTTCTCTTTTTTAAATAAATGCTTGAAACAACCCTATCAGATATAATGAATGCAGTGTATCTGCCTCTGAGAAGTAATGTTATACAAATATCTATTAACCGAAATGTTCAACTTCTCAAAATATGTAAAATTCAATCTGAAGGGCTTGGTCTAACATAGAAATCTTCTGAGTATAATAAATGATCCTAATCCTTGGGGAAAATATAAAACAATTTCATGTACACAAACTTTATTCAAACCATCAGTTCTCCCTAATCTAGTAAATCTAAGGGACTTCATGTAATTTAAAAAATAATGTTTTTATATAGCAAAGTAAAGTTCTTAAACATCATATGAGCACTGTAGTGACTTAAGTTAGTATTTTCTTAAAATATATTTTTTTAATATAAAATAAGGGTTTAATAAGTAACGGTAGGGCTTCCCTGGTGGCGCAGTGGTTGAGAGTCCGCCTGCTGATGCAGGGGACACGGGTTCGTGTCCCGGTCTGGGAAGATCCCACATGCCGCGGAGCGGCTGGGCCCGTGAGCCATGGCCGCTGAGCCTGCATGTCTGGAGCCTATGCTCCACAATGGGAGAGGCCACAACAGTGAGAGGCCCGCGTACCGCAAAAAAAAAAAAAAAAAAAAATAGTAACGGTATATAAAATGTTGAATTTCAGAAAAACATTTAGGGTTCATGCTTTGCATTAGTTTAAAAAAGTCTCCTCATTAATAAGATTTTGATACTGACCTTCCTGGGAATCTGTTGCTCCAGACGCTGGAATCTGAGTCCTGTCCAAATCACTAATACGGTAAAGATCATCAAATTCTCCCCAGCGTGTCATTCCCCTGAAAAGTAATAAATCTTGTAAGTGATATTATTCTGTTCATAAAAAGGCGTAGGATGGTTTTCAGATTTACAGTATTAATATAATGCTGTGGGCCTCTGTAGGTAGACACATCATCCTAAGTTATAACAATGTTTTATATTATTAAAATTATATTTATACCAGAGTAGTCAGCTTGCATTTTAAATAATTCTTGTACTGATTTTGAGCATGTTTTGACACAATAATTCAGTTACACACTGAACCACAAGATTATATAGATTCTGTAAAACATATGTGCCAATGGAATTAGTAGAAACCAATATAATCAATTGTTTTTAACATCTTTATTGGAGTATAATTGCTTTACAATGGTGTGTTAGTTTCTGATTTATAACAAAGTGAATCAGCTATACATATACAATATCTCCTCCCTCTTGCATCTCCCTCTCACCCTCCCTATCCCACCCCTCTAGGTGGTCACAAAGCACTGAGCTGACCTCCCTGTGCTATGCAGCTGCTTCCCACTAGCTATTTATTTTACATTTGGTAATGTATATATGTCCATGCCACTCTCACTTTGTCCCAGCTTACCCTTCTCCCTCCCCTTGTCCTCAAGTCCATTCTCTACGTCTGTGTCTTTATTCCTGTCCTGCCCCTAGGTTCTTCAGAACCCCTCCCCCCCCTTTTTTTTAAGATTCCATATATATGTGTTAGCATACAGTATTTGTTTTTCTCTTTCTGACTTACCTCACTCTGTATGACAAACTCTAGGTCCATCCAACTCTCTACAAATAACTCAATTTCATTTCTTTTTATGGCTGAGTAATATTCCATTGTATATATGTGTCACATCTTTATCCATTCATCTGCGATGGACACATATGTTCACCTTATTTTTGATAAGGGAGGCAAGAATATACAATGGAGAAAAGACAGCCTCTTCAATAAGTGGTGCTGGGATAGCTGGACAGCTACATGTAAAAGAAAGAAATTAGCACACTCCCTAACACCATACAGAATCCGTTCTTATACAGATATCTCACAATGCTTTTAGGAGAGTTTAGATACAAAGTGTTTATTCTGCCAACTTGCATTAAGTTCCTGTTGTATTCAAAGCATTTTTAGGTAAAGTGACTCCAATATAATGATATAAAGCCTATCTTTAAGACCCTTGAGCACTATAAAGAATACGATTTATAAAGGAGGAAAGTGTATGAGAAACTTCTTTTCTGACAATCATGATTTATATAGGGTACTAACAATTTTCAATGCATTCTAATGCCCAGAATACATAAAACTGGGCAACTGCTTATTTTTACCAGTTGGGCCAACACTCATTGTTATTTTCTTTCTGGCTTTAGATAAGCTACTTATCTTCTCTGTGCATTAGTGTTCTCACCTATGAAATGGGGATGATTATAGTATGAGGTAGGATAAGGTTATTGAGAAGATTAAATGAGTTAATTTGTGTAAAATCCTTGAAAAAGTGCCCAACACATAGTAAGCACTCAATATGTGTTAAAAACTGTCGTGATCATCCTCATCTTCATTGTTATCCTCATCATAATCCCCATCATCTGTATCCATTTCATGATGGGTCAGGAGCCATTAGGGATCCAAGGTATTCCTAGATGTCTCTAGGTTAATAGACACTATCGTAGCTGGGACCAGTCTTAGTCCTACTAAGAGTCTCTTCCATAATGTCTGTTTTCCTTATGACCAAAAAATATTCACCCATAGGGAATCTGTGGCATTAATTCTTCCCAAATGTCACTGGTGGCAATAGCAACAAAAAATGCTTATTCATACTAGTGGTGGCAAATATGAATAAACATGGTCCTTTTCTTCCTTGATCTCTGAATTCCTTTGATGTCTTTTTACAACTTCTATATCATTTGAGCCTCATAATAAAAGCCTTATGACATAGATAAGATAATCCTAATATATTTATTAATTTTCTAGTAAGCTGTACTATACAGAATATAGCCAGTCAAAATAAATGTCTTAAAAGTCCAAGAACTTTAGGCAATAACTTTAACTCAAAGGAGAACTGTTTTGGTCCTGACTCAGACTCTAGTTATTCTTCCTTTTTTATTTTCAATTGAAGTATAGTTAATTTACAGTCTTTTAGGTGTACAGCAAAGTGATTAAGATATATATATATATATATGTATATATTTCCTTTTTCAGATTCTTTTCCATTATAGGTTATTACAAGATATTGAATATAGTTCTTGTGCTATACAGGAGGTCCTTGTTGTTTACCTATTTTATATATAGTAGTGTGTCTCTGTTAATCGCAAACTCCTAATTTATCCCTCCTCCACTTTTCCCCTTTGGTAACCATAAGTTTGTTTTCTGTGTCTGTGAGTCTATTTCTGTTTTGTAAATAAGTTCATTTGTATCATTTATTTTAGATTCCACATATAAGTGATATTTGTGGTATTTGTCTTTGTCTAACTTACTTCACTCAGTATGATGTTCTCCAGGTCCATCCATCTGGCTGCAAATGGAATTATTTAATTCTTTTTTATGGCTGAGTAATATTCCATTATATATATATATATATATATATATATATATACAACATCATCTTTATACATTCATCTTTCAATGGACATTTAGGTTGCTTCCAAGTCTTGGCGACTGTAAATAGTGCTGCTATGAACATTGGGGTTCATGTATCTTTTCAAATTAGAGTTTTAATCTTTTACGGATATATGCCCAGGAGTGGGATTGCAGTATAATATGGTAACTCTATTTTTATTTTTTTAAGGAACCTCCATAATGTTCTCCATAGTGGCTGTACCAATTTACATTGCCACCAACAGTGTAGGAGGGTTCCCTTTTCTAGCTATTCTTATGATAGATAAAATTATCAATTTTCCCCAATCTATAGAAGATTAATTTAAAAAGGCAGATGTGATTATCATAGAAAGAGTG